AGCACGGTCCAGGGAAGTTGGGGGACATTTCTGGCTGGCACAGCAATGAACAGGGCAGGGACTGGGACCAGGACTGGGTCTGGGTGCCCTTGCAACAGAAAGGAGAGTCTTGAACCACGAAGCTCATCCTCCCTCACATCCTGCCAGTGTCACAGGTGGCCACAGGTAACCAGGTTCTTGGTGATCAAGGACAAAGAATTGAACCGAACACACAGAGTTTATAGCATAGAGAGAGCAGATTTATTAAGCAATAGTAGACTTTGCAGAACATGAAAGCAGGCCAACTCCGGGGAGAGACTGACCTCATGGGCTGAAGAGATTCTATTCTTACAGGGTACATCCTTCCTGGCTAGTTTTGGCAAGGTTTTACTGCGCATGTGCTCTCCCATGATTTTCCCTGATTGGTCACCAGAGAATGGGGTTGCACAATGTTACCAAATGGTTCCCCGCCTTCTCCTGGGGTCCCCCTGTAGTAGGTTTGCCTTGCCCACTAGGGAATTGTAGCTCTCGATGTCAGAGACTAATAAAAAGAAAAGGAATTTTTTATTCAAAAGTCATACAGAGTTAAGAGTAATGACTTAATGTCTTCATTTAAATCCCAAAGTCCCTTAAAACATGCACAAACAGACACAGTCTTTCCTTCCCCTCTTTGCCCAGTCTGGGGTACCACATCTCAGGAAAAGAAATAGAAGTCTGGACCCCCTTACATGGATACCTTGGGTTCTGGACCCCATTACAAATTCTTCTTTGGGGGTGGGCGCTTGGCTGCACCCTCTTACACCTAGTACAGCTTCTAAAAACTTGAACCTACATCCTAATTCATTTGACATATAAACGGGAAGTATTTGTTGCCTGGCTTTAATATACACCAGATTTCTCCAAAATGCAACTACTGTGTCAACTGAGGGAAGAGTGAACTTTGTGTTGTTTATAACTTTATTAAGAGGCCTTTTTTTTTACTATTTTGAAAAATTATGTCATCACAGCAACACACAGTATTGTAATCACTCCTAAAGCAGCCCTGTACATAGAGGCAAGCATCTAACTGTAAGAGGGTGCAGCCAAGGCCTCCAAAAGAAGGATTTGTAATTGGGTCCAGAACTCAGGGTATCCAGAAAATATTAAAAATATGTGATGTCCTCACCCACACAAGTCTGAACTGGGGGATGGGACACTTAGAGCAGGGCTATTGAGAGTTGTTTGGCATAGCAACGGTTTTGTAAATAACTTCAGGCCTGGACATTTAACATATCTATAAGTTTTAACTGGTTTCATAGATATGTTAAATAGCTGTGGCTGTGTTTTGAGCCAAGGAGATGGGAGTGACATCAGCCCAAGATGTAACCGGGAGGCAACTCCCCCTGGTTACAGAGCCTGTGTAAGAGCTTGGAGATGATTGGCTCCAGACCATGCGGCCATGCCTGCCCAGACTTAGTATGGCAGCCCAGAAAAGCTGGAGAAATATGGGAATGGTAGCAGGTGTAGCTGATTGTGAGAGGAGTCAGAAATGGGACTGCAGAGGAAGATTGGTGCTAGGACTTAAACACAGTTGCCACAGCTATGACGAGAGCAACCATGTGGTTTTGGGTGTCCTTTTGCCACACAGTTTAGGAAGCCAGAAAGCAAGATGTATCAGCCATGTAGAGCTCTCTCTTAGCAGTTTGGAAGAATTCAGGAGAGACCCTGCGGGAAGGAAAGGGGTGAAAGGACTCTTGTTGGTGGGCCAGGAGAAGGTGCCATGTGGTTTTGGAATAAGAACTGGAGATCCCGGTGACACAGCTGATGGTGCTGGGGACTGAGGGAGGCCTGTCAGATGAGCACAAATTACTGGGAAGAGCAGGGGTTACCTGAGCCATGGACTTCTACTTCCTTTCCTGAGATATGGTACCCTGGACCAGACAAAGGGTGGAAGAAAAGACAGTGTGTGTTTGTGGGTGTTTTAAAGGACTATGGGATTTAAATGAAGACATTAAGTCACTACTCTTAAGTCTGTATGACTTTTGAATAAATAATTCCTTTTCTTTTCAACAATCTCTGACGTGGAGAGCTGTACAGAGGGACCCCAGGAAAAGGGGGTTCCATTCTGTAACATTGTGCAACCCCTTCCCTGGTGGCCAATCAGGGAAAATCATGGGAGACCACAAGTGCAGTAAAAGCCCGCCAAAACTAGCCAGGAAGGATCTGCTCTATAAGAATAGAATCTTTTTAGCCCATGAGGTCAATCCGTACTTGGAGTTGCCTGCTCCCAGGTTCTCTGCTATAAACTCTGGGTGTTCGGTTCAATTCTTTGTCCCTATCACCAAGAACCTGGTTACGTGTGCCCACCTGCAACATAACTGCTTCACTTTGTTTTGCATTATACTTATACCTGAGGCCTGAAATACAGCTCATTTTTAACAGGCAATGAATTTTTACATAAAGCTATCCATATGAATCTTAGTAAATGTTAAATCCAGCTTGTTACTCTAACCTGATTTTTCTCTCAAAGCTAGAGTTTACATGTTAAAACTTTCTTTTCTAAGTATACTTTACTAGAATCAACAGGTTCCATTCCTATGCAAACCTAAGAAACAATGCAACCTTGGAATCTGGCTAAACTGACAAAGACTAGGTGGCCAACTCAAGGACACTGACCATAAAGATCCACATGGGGACCTGCAAGGACACAACCCCTCCCCCGATCTCTTTGTTCTGCTTTCCCTCTCTTCTCTCCTCATAAAAACCTCTGCCTTCACTAAAATGTTAAATTATAACCATGATGAGTATCTCTTAGCTAGTAATCAAAGTTATGCATTCTGCAACAAATCACAGTACATAATCAGCACTGTGCTTTAGTTCTGGTTGCAGCTGTAAACCACAGGTGTCCGGGAAAGGGAGGAATGCTAATGCAAACTGAGAGATAACAACTGGGAATGAAAGCAGTGAACCTGTGCGGGAGCTGCATGATTCCCCTTCCAGCCCCCTCCCCTTACTCCTGCTTGCCTCTCTCCAGAGAAACTGCAGCTCTGCACTCCCCCTAGGAATTCCTCCCTCCTGAGTTCCCGTCAACTCCCTCTACCAATCACTGGCTTGAACAGAGATGTTAAGATGGTTTTTGAGGGCAGGAGTCGCCCCCACCATCTTCTCAAGATGCCAGCACTTGAATAAATTACTTTTCTTCTCACCAATGCCTGTCTCACAAGTTTGGCTTTCATTGTGCCATGCAGCCAAACTTGGATTTGGTTTCAGTTGTCTTCCAAATTTCTTTCCCTTTATATCTCCAGTCTGGGCATGATGTTGCTTTTTTTTCCCACAATAAGTATAGGTTAACTTTATTATCTCTGAATTTCATTTAAAGTAGCAACCGGGTGATACGAAATATTTATTATGAAAAAAGAGGCCTGGGTTTGAGAACACTGTGAACACTGGGCTGGCCCACCTCCCAGCACCCACCTCCCACCTTGCTCAGATGTAGGCCCTGAAGCCCAGAGAGAGCAAGAGGCCTTCTCACTTCACCCAACTTGTCAGGGGAGAGCCCAGCCCACAACCACACAGTGAACACAGAGAGTAGTGGCTTTGCAACTGCCTCACTTTGGGACAGTACGTTTGCAGATCTGAGGGCCCAGGCCATTTGTCCTTGATATAAAGCCACCTGTTTTATGGAACATGAAAAGTTCTATGTACTGATTTGCCACTCGTGTAAATGCATGTCTGGCCCACTGAGGAACACCAAGAAGGGCAGTGTGCCTGGAACAGAAGAAGCCAGTGAGAAGCCTAGGCAATGAGGAGGAGGGGCTGATGCACAGGTCTTGCAGGCCTGTGAGATTCACACCGCCTAAGATGGGGAGCTACAGAAGGGTTGGGAGAGAGGAGGGACCTGTTCAAAGTCTATTTTTTGTTGCCTAGAATGTGAACAACAAGAAGGCAGGGGCAGCCCTGACCAGCGTGGCTCAGTTGGAAAGGTTATGGTTCGATTCCCAGTCAGGACACATACCAGGGCTGCAGTTCAGTGCCTGGTCTGGGCATGTATGAGAGGCAACCTCTTAGTGTCTCTCTCTCACATGATGTTTCTCTAAAGATATATATCTCTCTAAAGGTAAATACATAAAATCATTTTTAAAAATAAAGAGAGCAGGAACTTTGCTCATCCTGGAGAGCAGGAACCGGGCCCTTGATAACATTCAGTAAATATTTTGAACACACGAATGTGAAACTGGAAGAGACTGGTATTCAGGCTGCCTGTCACTACCAAACCCAATAAACAATGACAGGAGTTGAATCTTTATGGGCACTTTATTTAGATGGCCATCGATCGGAAAAGATGGTGGGTTCATACTCTAACAGACCATCTTATCTTTTCTTTCCAGGCCAAGCTTTTTATAGCACAGAATAAACTAGAGGTGGTGAGAGGGGTTTTGAAATTCAGGGAGGGTCACAGAACAAACTGCAATATTCCTGTCCTGCGTGGTTAGCTGTTCCCAGGGGCAGGCAATTGTTTGCCCCTCCCTGAAACACAATGGCCCGGATGCCTCCACTTGTCCCCAGGCGGTAATCTGTAACAGTGCCTCAGGGGGTCTGCTGTTTTCCCAGGAGCCAGGACAGGCCTTATCTGCAGCTTCTGAAACAAAAGCTTTAACACATACATTACTTGCTAGACTTACAACTTTTTACCTTAAACTAAAATTTTCCAGCTCTTAAGTCCCCTATAAAATGGACAAATGAAAAAATTAATGAAAAGACGGGATAGACCATGAATAAATGTGACCCTGACTCCTTCAGGATCCTCCATTCCACACTTGAGTTTAAGACCCACCCCGCCTCTCATCCTGCCCGCCGCTCCCACCCTAGCCGTTGGGCTACAGACCCGCGCTGAGACCGCCAGAGGGCGCAGGGCGGCGGATTTTGCCACACGGAGGACTTTGTGTGAGACACCATATGGGGCGGGGCCTGAGGCAGGGCGGTGCTCCCCTAGGTTGGCCCACCCGCTGGCGGAACGCCGCAGCCTGGCTGAGGGTGTGCAGCGACTACCGGAGCGGTTTGGACAGCACACAGGGCAAAGATGGCGGCCGAGAGGCAGGAGGCGCTGAGGGAGTTTGTGGCTGTGACGGGAACCGAAGAAGATCGGGCTCGCTTCTTCCTCGAGTCGGCCGGCTGGGACCTGCAGGTAATGCCGCGAGGCGGGCTGCGTCGGGCAGGCTGGGGCTGCAGGGCGCGGGCGCCTGGTGCGTCAAGCCTGTAGCGGCCGAAGCGCACAGTCATCCCGCCGGGCCGCAGCCCGACGCAGGCCTCAGGCGCTTGTGCTTGCTTTCCACGCGTTGCCAGCTCGGCTCGGTCGTGGGAACACGCGGGCCAGCCTCGGCCCCGACCTACTCTGCCTGGCTTCAGTTTCCACTCTTCCTCGCCGGTTCGCTGGGCCCACGAGACTTTGGGCACTGCAACAACCCGCGTGGAGTGCGGGAGCTGGGGGCGTGGCGGCCTCGCAGAGTCTGGGACGGAGGCCCGGCCGGAATGACCGACCCTGGAGTGGAGCGGCGCCGGGGACAAGGTGGTCGTTTATCTCCATTTTTGTAGGCCGACCGCGGGTGGCGGGAGAAGCCTGACCAAGGATTTGGCCCACGGCCCCTCCCCTCCCACCCAATTACTGGGAAATCTACTCCTGGAGTGGTGACGCACAGTTCGAGCTTCTTTATCTTTCTTAGTTACCTTATGTGTAAAATGGGGGTCCCGTGGAGGTTATCTAGTTCACTGGCACGTGTTAAATATTCAGACATACTTATTAAGACATTAAGATGAACCAGACGAGGCAGGAGGGTTTTGAAAACTGTTGCAACGCTATCACACAATAGATATTCAGTAATTGTAGAAAGGATTGCGTAGATGTTCCTGGCCGGCGTACATCTTAGAGGATGATTAATGTTTTTGAGCACCTACCATGAGCCAGATGCTGCTCTGACTGCATTACGTGTGTCTTCAGTCATTTTGCAGCTGAGATCTGGGGTTAGGTTACTTGCTCAGGCCTCACTACCTACCAGGTGAAGACATGACATTAGAACTCAGTGATGTGTGATTCCAAAGTCCAGACTCTTACCCGCCATATGCCTGACACTTTACATATGGTGATCCATTTAATGCTGGCAACACTGAGGTAAAGAGGAGCCTCAAGGTATAGATGAGGACCTGGAAGCTCAGAGGGTAAGTGATCATGGCTCCTGTCCAAGGTCACACAGGCAGTGAGTAGTGAGGTTGGGATTTGAACTGGGTCTGCCCACGTCATCATTTAAATTGCCTCCCTAAAGAGATAAATCATCACACCTCTGCAGTCACACAGTGTGAATGAAGCCTTTGTTCAGGGCAGGAATAGAAAATGCAGCTTCTGCCTGAAAGTGTTACAATTAGTAGGTCATCAGTCCTAGTCTCCTCATGCTGTTGGTGGGGAAACTGGCTCGTGTGTGACGTGACTTGCCTGGCAGGGCCAGGACTTCAGTGTAGGCACCTCTCAGTGCCAGCCTAGTGCATGTCCCGTGCCAGCCACTCTTTCTCCCAGTAGGCCTGTTAGGTCCTGCAAAAGCTCACTATTTCTAGTAGGCTGATTATGCCCCATAACAGCTCAATGCCTGCTATTAGCCTGGTGACCTTGAGGACAGGAGCCATGACTCTTTCATCTCTGTAGACCTCAATGCTCTTATTTCTTTGTGCAATGTAAGTGATTAGTAAATGCTTATCCATTGAGCCGATAAGAGAAACATACAATCACAAATAGCCAAAAGGCTGGCATATGCCTTGTGTATAGAGCTAAGACATGGCTTGCATAAACACTAATGAATTCTTTCATCCATTGTCTAGGTTTGGTGTCCCCATTGCACAAGCTAGGAGACCGGAACTCAGAAAGTAGAAGTAGCAGTCTGGGCTGGCCTCGCAGTTCATGACTCCTGGCTATCAGATAAGGGTTGAGAGTAAGGGCCTGAGCATACTGCCTAGGGTGGAACCTGGCCCTGCCCCTCACCAGCTTCGTGACCTTGGGCAGTTCTTCTTAATGTCTCAGTACTTCTATATCAACTATAAAATGAGAACGTAATAGTACTAACTACATAGGATTCTTTGAAGCTGAAATGAGTTCAGACATGTACATTTAAACTCAGTGTGGCCCATAAATAAATGCTCAATAAATGTACACTGCTTTTACTATCACAGTTTTTAGTAAAATGAGAATGGAGAATGACTTCATCCCAGCCTTCCTCCTTGCTTTTTTCCCCCCATAGTAGGCGGACCTTGTTTCACACAACATGAAGACTAACAGTTGGTCTCATTTTCTATGGCCTCCAGATACAGACCTACTTGGAAGTGTGGGCCATATCTTTGTGTCTTTGCTCATTTGTACTCACAGGAGGTATGTGTTAGATGAAGGCCTGCTTAAGGATCCCAAGTTTCTGCCTCTCTGTTTCAGATCGCCCTAGCAAGCTTTTATGAGGATGGAGGGGACGACGACATTGTGACCATTTCGCAGGCAACCCCCAGTTCAGTGTCCAGAGGCACAGCTCCCAGGTAAGAGCCAATTTCAGTTGTTGCTACGTGGATGTGTTTCCATATAACTTGATGGAGGGTTCAGGCCTTGGAATATGGGCCAGTGGGTTTGAGTGAGAAAGCTAGACTTACTGGTGAGTATAGCTCCTTGTTGAGAAAGAAAATGCTGACAGCGTTCTCAGAAGCCAGATTTGTACTAGCACCTAGAGGAATTTTGTGTGGAGCCAGCCTTCCCCCAGTCCCACCCTGTTTAACTTGACTGTTGCTTTCCCATAGAGGTAAGCACTGAGGTGGGTACTCTTACGTGAGTATAGTTTATGGTCTAATCCTGGGGAAAACCACACAGCCCACTTTTAAGGTGTTGAGTGTCTTTTATTTATGAAATGTGAGGCGTGACCTCTTCTCCATCTCTGTAGGTTTTCCATGGAAACTAAAGGATTTCCAGGGGTAATATAGAGTAGATTAGACTTTAGAAAGTTGATGTGGGTTTTTTGTTTTTGTTTTTGTTTTATTTTAACATTTTAGGATGCCCATTACCTTATAAAGAAGTCTTAGAGAAAATAAACCAGTGTAACCCATGCTTTTCCAAATTGATTATGGAGACCTATCTTATTAGGCAAACTGGTATTAATCTTTATAATCCTATTTACCTCCCTGTCCCAGCTACCTTGGCTCCAAGTTTCTTTGATCTGTAGGGTAAAATAATGCTGGTCTTGCAGGACAAGCAAGGCCTCTTACTACAAGCATCTGAGCTACAACTTCTCTCTGTGTTAGCTTGATTTGCTTCTATTCTCTGGCATATCTGTTTACCAGAAAATTTTACTTAGGTTTGAATTCAACCCTGGAATATAAATAACAGTGTTTCTTGGCCAGTGCAGTTGTGAATTGTGTTTCTGAGACTTAAACTACATTTCCTCCATATAAAGGAACATTAACCCCAGATCTCATTGCTTTTTTAACTTCTTTCCCTAACTCCCATTTCCAGAGGAAAGAGGTTACTGGCCACTCATCTTTTCATTGCTCATAGGTGCTAATCTGTGAGATGCCCTTAACGCTGCAGAATCGTGACTGATCTGAGAGATGCAAACAAATGTTTAAATATTGGTACATATATCAGGTGCATGGATTCAAGGTCATGACTAGCTGCTATAACAGTTAAGCTGTCAGTATAGTTACAACCCGTGTTTCCTCAGGATGTGTAATATTCTATAGTAAATTGTATCTGACAAAATAACCACAAACTCCCAAGTCAGTGTTGGTGTAGTTCTTTTTGTTTTCATTTTCCCACGAACTTCAGAGTCAGTGTTGTGTTCTGTTTTTGTTTTTGTTTTTTTTTCATTTACCATTGAAAATGGCTGGAAAAATGTTTCGAATCAATAATTGAAGAGATGTTGAAGAACTTCAGCAAATTCTACTAGAATCCAATGATCAGAATGATAGAATCGAATGTGAAAATGAAAGTGATTTAGAAGAATGAAGATTATGTGGACATTCATTCAGAAGATTTGGATATTGAGCAAGATGTTTCTAATGAAGAAAGTGAAGATGAATTAGGCATGAGTAAAGAGTTTTTGTGTTTTTTTTTGGAAAGGATGAAAATCAAAATGAAGGAAAAATTCAATGAGAAGACAAATTAGAAAACAGCCACAGAATATGTTGGGTCAACTTCTGTTAGATTGGCCAAATGCAAAAAATGCCAAGACGGAACTTGAAACTGCTTTATTACAAATGATATTTTAGATCTAATCTTATTATATACCAATAAGTACATCAGTTGTATCTCAAACCTGTTTTGAGGAGAAAGAGATGCTAAATGAATAGACAAAACTGAATTGAACGCAGTTTTAGGCATCTCATACATGCTGGTTTACGTTGCAGTGATCAGGTAAATCAGCAGGATTTACAGACCACAGATGGTAGTGGGGTTGAACTTTATAGATTTACAGAGTCTCTTATAGAGATTTAGGTTTATTCATAATAGTATCAGGTTTAATGAGAAACTTACATGCTTAGAAGGCCTGAAAGTGGACAGATTAGCAGCTGTCGGACATTTTCTCAGCATTTGTAGAAAATTATAAAGTATGTCATTCAGTGGGACAGAACATAACAATAGACAAAATGTTACCTGGATTAGAGGCAGGTGCGGGTTTAGACATTAGATTCCATCCAAGCCCAGTAAACACAGTATAAAAATTTTTGCTATGGTCAATTAAAAAGTATTTGACACAGGAAATCCTGAAATATATGCCAGTAAGCAACTAGAAGGTCCTTACTTGACTAGTAATAAACCAGCAGGCATAATCAAGAGACTTGTAGAACCCATTTACATATCAGGATGTAATATAGCAGAAGACTGGTTCACTGATATAAATTTCATCTTGAAAAGAAAGCAACTTTCATATGTAGGTACTATTTGTAAGAATAAACCCCAACTATCCCCTGAATTTGTGTCTTCTGAAAAACAAGTCTTAGAAATTCAACTTACTTGTTTTGGTGCAGATTGCACACTTGTATCTCATATACCTAAAAGGAAAAAATGCAATTTTAGTTTCAAATATGCATTTCTATGATGCCATAATTTAGATTCGCAAAAGCTTGATGTCATGGAATGTTACAACCAAAGTCAGGAGTTGACACTGTGGACCAAAGGATAGGTACATGTACTGTGGCCAGGAACACCAAGAGGTGGCGTATGGTTATATTCTATACAATTTTGAATATTGCAGCAATAAATCCTCCGACTGGTCATATGCTGAACAGCAATATGAAAATAAGGAGCAGAATATTTATTAGAAATTTTGTAATGCTATTAGTGTCAGAACAAATAAAAAGGTATTCAGAACTCTCTATAGGTGTGCGTAAGCCTTTATACCTGAAACGTCATCAATTTCAAATACAAATTGAAGGAAATTCTAACAAAGACAGACACAGCTCCCTTGACAAGCAGAAAAAGGAAAAAAATGTATTAGGTGCTGTAAATCCAGAATGAGCCCCTTATCACAATAGTGTTGCAAGTGCTGTGCAAAATATGCCTTGAGCACAGCGATATCGTTTGCAGTGACTGTTACAAACGTTTGCAAAGCCAACTACTGAAGAGTCTGATTAATTCACCTTAAAGACAATTTTTGGTTGTGTTTTCTAGCAATACCCATGTTTCCATTATTTGAAAAGAAAGCTTTTTAATCTTTATGTTTTTATATTTTTCTGTTTAATAATTTCCAGATTGTAATGAAAGTAAATTTTTAAAAATCATGTATTATATATGTATAATAAATGCAAACTTGCAGTGTTCTTAAATTTTTTTCGTATTTCAGCACATACTAGTAATGAATATATCTCTCAGATATACACGTACACTGTAATTTTTTTTGCTCAAACATCCACAAGGTTAATGGCACATCAGGATGTTATTTCCTATGATATGGTTATTGGATAAGGGCTCTTGCAGCTGCTGGTTTCTGGGGGGTGTCTTTCACAGCCACCCCAGGTTACTGTTAGAATGTTCGCATGTCAGAAATACAGAGCGGGCGAAGTCAAAACTTAGCCTATGATGTCACTCACGTATTCATAATTCTCTAATAGTCCCAAAGTCGTATCAAGGGAGTCATATCAAGACTATGGGCCTAGGAGTCTGACTGCCTAGGTTCGAATCCCAGTTCTGTCACTGGAGATTTGTGACCCTGGACAGGTGACTTAACATCTCAGTCTCTTGGTTTTTCTCACTTGTCAAATGTTAGTAGCATCTACCAAATAGGTTAAGTGAGCTAATACTTACAAAGCGTTTTGAACACAGTAAATATTAGCTGCTACTGTTGTCATTTTATTAGCATTAGCATCCCTTCTCACCTTCCCCATTCTTTGTGTTCCCTGTCTCACTTCACAAGTACACATATTTAAAAATAGACATAAAAATAAAAGAATCAAGGAAATGGGAGAGTTTAATGCTAAGACCAAGGGGAATAAAAGACTGAACACGTGCAGACCTAAGGGCCTTGCTTTATAATTTTGGGAAAGCCTCAGACTTGGCACTGGGGGAGAGGAAGGGCGCAGTGTGTTGCGTTGTCTTCCTCATCCAGAAGGAAAACGCAGACTAATCCCCAGAGGCCAAGCTGGTACCAGCGCCTCAGGAATTCTGTACAGGGCCTGCTTCTTCCTCACCCTGACCCGTGTGCGACCTGACTGTTGCAGGACCCTTAGGCTGCCTCTGCTCCTCCCCCTGCCCCACTGTACTGTCATCTTCTCAGGCATCTTTCTTGTCATCACTGCTGCCATGGACATCAATTAGTAAACTGCTCCTTTGCCTCTGGAACAAAGGTACTTGGTGTAGAGGCCTTGGTCCCTTTGGAGAAATCTGTGGAATGAGTGTGAGATGGTTCATGAGTTACCTGGATGTTTGGGCAAAAAATTTGCTGTATCTTTTCTGCAAAGGAAATCCTTAGCATGTAAGATTCTCAAAGGTCTGCAGGACATAAGGTTAGGTATTGCCCTGAAGTCAGTAGTAACTGCTGTCATTTAGTGAGCACTTCCCAAGTGCCAGGTACCGGGTTAAGTCCTTACGTGTGTATTTCTTTAGTCCTCACTATAACCCAACAAGGTGAGTACTCTTGTCATTCCCGTTTCACAGATGAAGACACTGAGGCTGGACATCTCCCCAAGATCTCACAGCCAATAAAACCAGGATTTAAATGCAGATCTGTTTCTGCTTCCAGTATTCAGCCAGTACCACCTCTTCTTGTGGGTATTCAGAGTCCTCCAGAGTTTGCCATGAACCTGTCATCCTGATATTAACCACTTTTTCTCATTTCTTAAATCTTTATTTTAACCAGACTGATCAGTTTGGTGTCTCATTTGTGCCTTATTTTTGGTTCTGCCTATTTTTGGGCCTCTCACCTGACTCAGCCTGTTCAGACCGCAGTGCTTCTTTCTGTCCACCTTCATGTCCACCTGCCTCGTTGAGCATGTTACCCCACCCACAGGCAGCACGCCGTGACCTTGTGTCTCCGCACTCTAGTCACAACTATACTTCAGTCACCTCCTTCAGTTCATGTCCTCCTTGAATTGCTCGGGGACATCTCTACTGTGTTGTCCTGAACTCTTCTGCTGTTTAACCTAATTTTTCCTCCCTCAGTAAATCATAAGTTCCTGGAAGCAGGAAGCCAGTATTGGAGGAACACTCACACCTGTAGCTCTGCCAGATACGCTCACCTGCGCTCTCTGCTTAGGTCAGTTGCGGTGAAAGTGGGTGCTCACCCTTCACAGGTCAGGATGCTGAGTCTTAGAGAGGTCGAGTAACTCACAGTTGCTGTTATGCCAGGTTCAAACCCAAGTCTGTCTGAATCCACAGCTACTGCCTTCCTATTCAGCACCTCCCACTCCTGTACCTACTGGGGTCAACCAAAGGCTTGCAGGCAGTTCCTGTTTTTCCTTTCAGCCAACAAAACCATACTTTTTCAATTGTCTGATTCTGTAAAACTCTACTGTCCAATATGGTAGGCACTAACTTCATGGGTCTGTTTAAATTAATTAAAATGTAATATTTGCACTTAACCACATTTCAGATGCTCGGTGGCCCCATGTAACTAATGGTTCCCATATTGGCAATTCACACCACAGAAAATGTGATCTGATAAAGAACTTTTGTGCCTCTTCAGGGCTCAAGGGTAGCCTGAGAGATAGAGTTTTCATGCTGAAAAATTAAGATTTCTCAGACATTTGGCCAATTTGTGGAGTACATAGACAAAATATTCTGAAATCGACAATGTTCCTGAGACACCCTTACCACCAAGGTTACTCTCAGAGCACTGGTTCTCGAACTTGAGCATGCCTCAGAACTACTTGGAGGGAACCTTAAAAGCAGATTGCTGGACATTCCCCCAGACTCTGTTGAAAGGTAGTCCGAGGCGGGGCCTGAGGATTTGCATTTCTCACAGTTTCACAGGTAACATGGACGTGCCAGTCCCAGGACCAACACTTTGAGAACCACTGCTCGAGAGTAGCACTTGCAACATGCTACAGCATCAGCACCCCACCTGTTCACAGACAGTCTGAGAGGTTGGTGCTGGGATTGTCTCCATTTTCACACGAGAAAGTGAAGGCTTAGAAACTTCATTAGCATGTGCAAGATCCCAGGGTGGGCGGCTAAGTTGGAATCAGACCCAGGTATGTAGACACCTGAGTCCGTGTCAGGTAGTATGCAGAGTCTAGGTGTAAGAACTTTAGGGGAAAAAATCAAACCTTAAGAACTTTAGGGGAAAGAATCAAACCCATAGCCAGGGCACGTGGTTTGCTCACGGGTACACACATGTATTTGAAGGTGTTTAACCATAGAGAGGATTTTTGTTTTTTCGAACCATGTCATACAGAGCATCGAGGAACGTCCAGGAGGTTGCTGTCAGCTAACTCAAGCAGGGAATGTGTTTGCCTCATCGGTTGGTCTTTGTCCTCCCAGGTCAAGTTGATGGAACCTCAAAGCCTGTCCTGTCCTCTACTTGTCTCCTTGAAATTAATCTTTGAGATTGAACTGGAGCTTTCTTCCTAGTAGACAGCTCTTCCTTCCCCGTGTGGCCTCACAAAGTCTGTATTACCTCCTGTCTCCATATCATAGGAAAGCTACTGTTTTCCTAAGAAAATACAGGAAATGTTTTTTAAAATATGTCTTGTGATCCTTGAAAACTAAGATTGTTCCTTGAGGACAAATCTAAACTGGAAAGGGGGGCAGTGTGAGACAGTGTCAGGTGTTAACCCCTCTCACACTGATTATTAGCGTGCCCTCTCTACCACACGCCAGACTACTCTCCCGTTTTCTAGACAGTGATGAATACTTCTTGACTAAACTACAGTAGAAGCAGGCAGAGGCCTCCTTGCCCACATTATTCGTTTCCTTTCTACGTCTTGACCACCTGTCCTTCCTCCAGTGTATTGTTCTCGGTGATCTCTGTACATGCCTGGGTCACTTTCCTGTGGTGCCCTGTTGGTGCCCTTTCCCACCAGCCCCACCCCCCTTTTCCAGTCACCTGTACACTGAATGGCAGTCTGCCGGTTCTTCAGCCCTCAGTCCACATCTTCATTCTTCTGGGAACCTTCCTTGGTGCTCCCCTTTTCCCACCCAGAGCGTGGCTCTCTGCTCCCGCGTCCCGTGTGCTTGCGTCTGCCGTAGCCCTGTGGCATAGTGTTCGGTGATGGTTTCCTGGCCAAAGTGCTGTGAGAACTCTTAGTGGTGAGAACTGTGTGTGTTCATCTTTATCCACCTGCCATCTAGGTGAGTCCCTAGCACAGGCATTCCCTCGGTATTTACAAATTAAATGATGACAATACCTATTCATTCATTAGTTTTTTAAATATTGGGTTGGCCAAAAAGTTTGTTTGGTTTTTTCTGCGAGATGGTTCTAGCACACCTTAGTTATCTTTAACTTCATTCAAAACAATTTTGTTAGATTATATTGTGACAGTTGTCATCAGCCTGCATTTTTTAAAAAACTTAGCAAAATTGGTGAATTTTTGTACAGCCATTTTAATACTGAAGGTAGAAGAAAATGCAAAAGTGGTTTGTGAGGTATCATCCTAGAGACCCTCCCTGGGTGAGGCTCCACAGTCAGGTAGTTGAAGTGATAGCGATCACATCGAGACATTAGTTAAGAACAATCAATATTATGCTGCCCAAGAGATAGCCAACATACTCACAATATCCAGATCCATGAAGTTATTGGTGAAAATGAAAAATGTGTCTTTTATTTTGTGTAAACAACTAAAGAGACTTTTTGGCCAACGCAGTAGTATAGACCTGCATCTCGTTCCCCCCTTTTCTAACTTATTCTCAGTCCTGTGTGACCCTGAAGAAATATGCCACAGTATTTTTACATAATAACTTAAGAGTTGAACTTTTTCCATGAAGATCCTCGTTCTGCCCCACCCAAAAAATGTAGCCCCAGTGTCCTGGACTCCCTGACAGCTGGTGGTGGGGATTACCTTTCTGGACTCCCCTGAGATCATTTTGCTCTTTTCTGTGTCTCCAGCGATAACAGGGTAACATCCTTCAAAGACCTCATTCATGACCAAGATGAGGATGAGGACGAGGAAGAGGGCCAGAGGTGAGTCTTTTATGGGGGAGCGCAGTCCACATAGAGGTCCTTGACAGTGTAAATCGTGGTCTGTGTGAATCATGGAAAGGACAGCTGTGTTCGGTCATCAGTACCATTGCTGCTGCGGACTGGTCACATGCGGGGCAGGGCAGCCTCCCCGCCTCTCAGAGAGAGCTTCGCAGTGAGCCCTGTCCCCCGTCACTGTTGTTGGTGTAGTCTGGGTTTGCTTTTAATTACAAACACATACGTTTATATGTTTAATTATATGTTTAGTTATAAACATATATAAAGAATATATGTTTATTGAAGAATATTATGGGGAGAAAACAAATCAATAAGAAAGAAAAATCATAATACCATAGTAACTAAGTATCACTATTATTTTTATTTATTTATTTTTTTTATTATCTATTTATCTTTAGAGGGGAAGGGGGGGAAGGAGAGAGGGAGAGAAACATCAATGTATGGTTGCCTTTTGTGCGTCCCCTGCTGGGAACTGGCCTGCAGGGAACCGGCCTGCAACCCAGGCATGTGCCCTGACTGGGAATCGAACCGCGATCATGTGGTTCGCAGGCCCGCGCTCAATCCACTGAGCTACACCAGCCAGGGCAAGTATCACTATTTTTGATATATCTTTCTAGCATTATTTTTAATTAGAGAAGCAATGTATCACATAATAAACAGAATAGAAGGCTTATAAGTATACATTGCCTTACTATATACACACACATAGTTTGCTTTTAACTTTTAGGAATGTTATAATGAAATTAGTGTTCATTGTAGAAAATACAGAATAGTATAATGAAAAAATGTAACATTCATCTACCATTTGGTAACTGCATTAATATTTTGGCATATTTCCACTCAGTGTTGGTTTTCTGTAAAATACAATTTTTTCCCTCCCCCTAATTTGTTTTATATTATATTTTACATATGATGGTCAGATCATTTTGTTTTTTTGCTTTTGTTCATTTACTGCTACATCTTATACACTTCTTCATGCCACTGAAATTTTTTATAAGTGTTTCCAATGACTATAATAATAATCCATCATATGGGATGTCCAGTGTTTAAAAATGTTTCATTTTTTTCCACTGGAAATGTCAGTGACGTGAACATCTCCGCCTGTTCATCTTTGACTACATTTCAGAGTACTTTCTTGGAATAGTTTCTAGAAATGAAAATAGCAGGTCAAGGGCATGAATATTTTCAAGGTACTTGATCACAAGTTCTTAGTTTGTACGTCAGGGTTTGGAGATCCCAAGCCTTGGAACTATAATCAAGACCTTATAGTCCATTTAGCAGAACTTCATCTCCCTGGAATGAGCAAGAATGACCTGGCTGCAGCCTCATTTCCTGGGTTTTTTTCTCCGGTGGACTCTGCCTCAGTCTGCCAGACATTCCTAAGGACCATTGTGGGAACCATACTGGGAATGCAGTTACCTCATCGTGGTCATTCTTTGGGAGGTGGGCTGAGAAGTTATACGTGTTCTATACTCTGGTTTCATCTGTATACACTTTACACTGCCTCCGAGTCTGCTTAGATGCACTCAGGGTTCAGAAATAAATGTTAATTTGGCTGTTTTACACTCCTTAAGGAGTGTAAATGTCACTTGGTGACAGGCAGTGTCATCAAGTATGCGAGGACCCAGCTCCTAAATGACCTCCTCTTCCTCCTCTCATCCTGTTACCTCTTCCAGGCATCAACCTTGGCCCCTCAGCATTTCAGACCTAACTGACACTGGTGGTGGTGGTCTTGTCTTGCATTCTCTAGGGACTGTCAGGAAAGAAAAGGCTGAGATTGATTTTTATAGATTCTTAATTCCCCACCCAGAGACGTGCTGCTGACTTAGCTGTGAATACAAGTAATAAGGACGCAGCTAGTCAGGCTGAGTGACTCACAGTTTTCAGATGCAGGTAAATCTCAAGTCATGCTTGGCCCACTGCAAAGCCCAGTGTAGGTGTGTCAAGGCTTGTTTCTGAGCATCCCCAACATTTTCCAGTGCCCTCTCAGTGCCCCAGTGTATGTCACCAAGCATAGCAAGGTGAGGTAAGGCTTGGGTGAGCTCCTGGTGCTGTATCATACCACCTTACATGTGCGCATTACTCTGTGCTTGTTCTTTTGCATACATCTGCTGATTTGAACCTCACGGCCCTGACTTAAGGAACAGGTAGGTAGGGCATGTGGTTCTTGCCTCCCATTTCAGAGACGAAGAAACTAAGATTCAGGGCAATGCACTGGCTTGCCCAGGGTCACTCAGCAGCAGAGCCAGCACTGGAGTCTTGCTGCCTGTACTAACCATGCCACTGTTAACCATTAACCCAGAGCTGCTAGTGATAGCTGCTTCTGACTGTGACCATAGTTGCTATGTCCTAGAGAGGTGCTGGCCCCCAGATGGAGAATTGCCAGCTGGGACTCTCTGGAGCTGATGTGCTGTCATGCATGCCTGGAATGCCCATCCCTGAGTTCTTCACCTGATAAACTCATCCTCAAGACTTAGCTCAGAAGACACCCTTTTTAGGAAGCCTTGACCGTCCTCCCCAGCTCAGTGTTCCCAGAGTACCCCTTAAACTGACCTCTGTTGCTGCTCACACTGCCTTGTGCCTGCCTGCCTCCTTGCACATCCCCAGCTAGACAGAAGTTCCTTAAAGATGGGCACAGTACCCTCCACCTCAGTGTGCCCAGCACCTAGCCCAAAGCCTGGCACGTTTGTGTTTTCCAAGTGTGTTTGGTGTTATGTGTGTATTTTCTGTACAGGTTTTATGCCGGAGGCTCTGAGAGAAGTGGACAACAGATCGTTGGCCCTCCCAGGAAGAAAAGTCCCAACGAGCTGGTGGATGATCTGTTTAAAGGTGCCAAGGAACATGGAGCTGTAGCTGTGGAGCGAATGACCAGGAGCCCCGGAGAGACCAGTAAACCGAGAGTGAGCATAGAGGGTCATTGTCTCTGGCCACAGGACTCAGGTTCCAGAGCAGGGGAAGGGGGCCCTCCTCACCCCAGTGGTGACTGAATTTTTGTTTTAGTTTTCCTTTGCTCACTTCCTCTTATACACAGAAAAGCAGCACAGTATCTCTCACCCTTTACATGAAATCAAGGTTTGGGGCAGTGTTTTCAAACCTTTGGTCTGGATTGGGTTCTGCACATGTTTTATGTGGCTTGTCCAACTTGACTTGGTGTTTTGCTTTATTTTGTTTTAATTGAATTAATAGCCACCTGTTTTACATAAAATCTGGATTTCTGTTTCTTTAAGAAAATCAAAAATTCTTCATTGTTCTCCTCCACACAGATTTCTGCATGGCCATGGTGAACTAGAGCTAGGAGCAGCTGTTTCCTTTCGCTAAGCAGCATCCCCCTCTTCCAGTTTTCCCCCGACCATAACCACTTAATGGCCAGGCATGTGGCTGGTCCTGCAGCTCTGCCTTTGATACCCCCAAAAGTGTCTCTAGTGGTTAACAAGTTTTCAGCGTATCATTGTATGTGAGTAACCCCACCACCATTGACCCATTCCTCGAGTATTTAAGAATTTGTCTTTTGTAGCCATTTGCAGGGGGTGGCTACCGCCTTGGGGCAGCACCAGAGGAAGAGTCTGCCTACGTGGCAGGAGAAAGAAGGCGGCATTCTGGTCAAGATGTGAGTATACATCTACCTGCCTTCGTGGGGGAAGCTTGTGAACAGTTCTGTCATTTTCAGAAGGGATCGGTCATATTTATGCATGAACTGGCAGCCTCTGAAAGGGAAGAGATAGTGCCCTTGCTGTGGTGCATGAACACAGAGGGGCTTACCTGAGAATCAAAGGTAGCTCTCATCTGGTTGGGCAGAGGAGATGGGCAAATAAAGTTTACTAGCACTGGACAGTGTGTCCAGGGTTCTCTGGTGGGATCAGCACAGCTAAAGAATTCGGTCTTCAGACCACCTGAGGCCTGAAACGCAACTTAAAATGTTTCTTATTATCTGGTTCTCCTGTCCCTGTGCATAAGGGTCTCCCCTCTAATAAGAGTAATCATGCTCTATAAACAATTTCAAGGTTGTTTTAATGTCGTATTAATGCCATAAGCTTTTTCATGTAGCCTTGTGACCAGTAGCTTCCATCATGTATTTGTTTTTAATCATTTTGGGTTTTATTCTAAAATAAAGTCAAGGAAGAAAAAAATAGAAAATCTATCCATCTGAGGGAGCAGCTGCTAATATGTTCGTTTTTAGCTTTCTAGATGCTTTTCTGTGAATATGGCAGATACTTTAAATGACTGCAAAATAATCTGAGTGGTTTAGCTTAGCTACGTGCCACGCACACTGGAGACCCTACGGGTGAGGAAGCCACAGCTTTCACTGAGTCGCCTGCTCAGAGACACTGAGCCAGCAGGTGCAAAGTGAAGGGACAGACCCAGGTCTGCTCTCATCAAAGCCCGTTCTCAGCCTGCGCCACATTACCTTCTTATTTTAGATTGATGCTTACTTGGTTGGTTGGTTGGTTGGTTGGTTGGTTGATTTCCTCGCACATGCATTTTTATTCATCTCTTCAATAATGACACAGAAAAATAGTAAAAACATGCTGACTTGCAGGTTCACAGGGGTGTGCTTGCCAGGTTCCAGACAGTGTGTGGACTGCTTACCTCCTGTTGTCACAGGTTCATGTGGTGTTGAAACTCTGGAAGAGTGGATTCAGCCTGGACAATGGTGAACTCAGAAGCTACCAAGACCCGTCTAATGCCCAGTTTCTGGAGTCCATCCGCAGAGGGTGAGCAGAAAAACTCTCCCCTGGGTTCCATGTCAGCGAGTGGGAAAGAAGAGGCTGATCCAAATGTTTGCTCTTTAAGAAGTAAGCATTTGTAAGCAGATTTAGCACAGCTGAGGTACAGATTCACAGATCTGTACCAAAAACTTTGTGTCCATTTTTCCCCTTTGGGCCTCAAGCAGAGCCAAGTGACCAGATAAATGCAGGTCTCTGCTGGGCCTTTGAGCAGATGGGAGAGATGGGGAGGCGGACAGGTAATCACTGGAGCAGCCAGCTTTCTGAGGAGGCCCAACGGTTTTCACAGTTGGAACCAAAAAGTTCATTCCCGTCCTGTGCTGTGTGGGTCCCAGCATCGCCTTTTCTCCCGCAGGGAGGTGCCAGCAGAGCTGCGGAGGTTAGCTCACGGTGGGCAGGTGAATTTGGACATGGAGGACCACCGAGATGAGGACTTCGTGAAGCCCAAAGGAGTCTTCAAAGCCTTCACTGGCGAGGGTCAGAAGCTGGGCAGGTAAGGAGCAGCACAGGTGAGAGTGTAACTGCCTGTGAGGCTCAGCACACCCTGTGTATTGCTCACTTTGTTTAAGTCTTTACAAAGTATTTCACATTCTATTTTTATGGGAGGGAGATTATGGAGAACGTGGGCTTTGACAGTCTTTGCTTTCTAGCTACATGGCCTTGGACTGTGTAGTCTCAGTTTGCTCAGCTATAAAATGGGACTAATGAGAGTCCTTACCCTCTTTGGTTATTGTTGCAAGAACATACAGCACTGCCCCACAGTGAGGAGTCGGTGTAAGCAGCAAGGCTAACACATTGCTGCTTTGACTCAGTAATTTAGGGTGTTCACGGCGTGGGTAACCTCGATGGCTTAAGGCTGAGACAGACACCCATGTTCAGGTCACCCAGACTCTCCCTACCAGAAAGCTCTGCAGCAGCCTTGGTCAGGATCCAAAGAAGCTCGAGGACGTTGCTAGTGCAGGCTGCTGGTCTACCATTATGGTAGCTCTTACTTCTGTGGCTCTTCCTGACATTCACTGTGTCATTTCCTGTGACTTTTTCTGCTTTTTTTCCTCTGCCATGACCTCCATCTTGCATTCAAACCCCTGATAGTATCTGATTAATTAATAGTCACTGTTACCTCTGATAGAATTCTGTCAAGACCCTTGACCTACCCATAGGCAGGCTGCCTTCTCTCAGGGGCCCCCTCACTTTTGGGACATGGTCATGGGGTCTCTTGACCAGTACTGTTCAGAGGGACTGAATGTACATGAGAGACACTTGGAGCACAGTATAGTCCCTATTTTACAAAGGGAAAGCTGAGACTCTTAGACTTCAAGGTTTACCCTTGGGTATGTGTGTGGTAGGTGGTGGAGCCAGGACTGGAACCCAGGCCTTCTGATTGGCATTCCTTCCTGTACTCCTGCATAACGAGATACCCTCTCTGACCTAGATCTGGCAGCTCTCGAACCAGCCTCTGTCCTTGCTCATCTCACCCTCATCTGCAGGGGTCAGGGTGTGGTCTCTCAGTAGCTGTGCTCTTTGAGCTGCTGGCTGCCCCTCTCCTAGAATCCCCTACCTTCCTGTTGGCCATTCATCCCTCAGCAGGAGCAAGGGTCACACACATCTCAGGATATTAGAGACCATTGGATGGTAATTTACCAGAGCCAACATAGTTAAGTCCATCCTGTTCTCATCATTTCACTTACCACATTGGGATCCCTGGGTTAGTCCAGGACGGCCATTCTCAGGGTGATCCACCCGTACCTTCCCTGTCGGTTATAGTAAGCTTTGGGGAGCACCAGATAATTTTTTTCTTGTATTATTAAAATGAAATGTGTTTATCTTTAGAAAAATAGAAAATTCAGGTAAAGAGTAAAAACTGTTCCTAAATCTAACTCCCAGTTATATCCAGTTAGTGTCTGGGAAGTATCCTTCTAGTTTCATACATATGGTGTATGTGCAAACATGTTGTTTATCAACTGCTATTTTGCCTAATCCATAAAGTCTGGCTCTCACTCCATGTCAGTAGGTGTATTTCTCTAATACTTTTTCTAATGCTGATATGTTTCTATCTGTGCATGTGTTATAGTCAAAGTGTTTAATGTTTAGGCAGCTCCCACTAGTATGAGCAACACTGCAATGAATATCTTTAATGAAATTTTTACATGCCCCTTAATCTTGGGCTAGAAGTGAAATTGCTGGCCAAAGGTCTTCACATTTTGAAGATGTCAAATTGACCTCCAAAAAGGTTGTATCAGTTTTTTACCCACCAGCAATTATAAGGAAAGGCTCAGAACTGAGAACATTTTGCAGTTTGCATTTGTTTGGTTTTATAGTACTTAAAGGAAATCCTTTTACTGTGGGAAGGTCCAACTATATTATGTGTGCAAGACTCCACATCTCAAAAAGTGAAAATATTTTTAAGGGAGTCTATTTTAGCCAGATGGGAATACATACTTTATTAGTGTTGAGGGTGAACCCACAAGTTGAGACAGCTCGATAATCAGGGGTGATGTTCATCAGGTAAATAAATGTTCATAGCCAGTTCCAACTGCATTTTATTTCAGTTTTGGCTTTTTTTAAAAGTTTTATACAGCCAAGCAAGATATTATTTTAACTTTTTTATCTAAACCAGATGGACAGTTTTCTTTTGTTGTTGTTTTAGTTTTTCTCATAAATTTTACTATCCTTTTTTTTTTTTTTTTGTAGAGAGTTTAGGTTTTATTTAGTTTTAGAGAGCAGAAAAGGAAAGGAGAAAGAGGGAGAGAAACATCCATTGGTTGCCTCTCACACACCCCAGCTGGGAACTTGGTGCATAACCCAGGCATGTGTCTTAATAGGAAATCAAAGCAGCAAACTTTCAGTTCGCAGGCCGGCACTCAGTTCCTGAGCCACACTAGCCAGGGCCTTACTACATCTTCCATTGTCGTCTTGTCAACTAAAATGATCAGGAGCCAACAGCTGCAGAAAGATTTCTTAGGTTTGCCTCAAAAAGTAGTCAGTCCTGGGTTTTTTTCCTCCGGTTATCTGAAAAAATACTTTGAAGTGAATGAATAAATTGTTCTCAGTTGAAAAAATTCTTTCCGTTCCATTACATTTTGTTGTTGGTGTAGCTGTTGCAGTAATTTGCATGGGAACTAATTTGAAGGTTAGGAAAAGAGTGCATGTACCTGAGTAGCAAACACAAGGAGGGCACTTGGTTGGGAGGCAGGCATTACTGTGTGGGATGAGCTTTTCCTGCTCATCGTGCTTTCTGAGGTGGTCATTTTTTTAAACGGGGTGACGGAGCCTCAGGACTTAAAGTAGTGGAAGCACAGCACCTTGGTGTCCACTTTATTCCCACTATAAAGGAAGTGAGCAGTCAGGTGGTTCAGGCTCTTGGTCTGAATGACCCCTGATTACCCTGTGACTCGTTATGTGATATTTCAGGGAGACAGTAAAGAAACTCTTCTTATAGATTTCTGGTCTGACCTGGCCATTCCTGCCCGAGTGAAGTGCCCTCACCGATGCAGATGGCCCAGCCACTGCTGGAGAGTAACGGTTCGGGAGGTAGCAGTTGTCAGGCACCAAACAGACTGGGTTCCCTTGAGCATATGCACGTGGCTGTCCTATACAGTGATGAGAGGAATCTGGAACGAATGCTCTTTGAGTGTCTTGCTCCAAATAAGAATCACAAGGTCTGGTATTGACATTTCTCCATTCCCTACCCTCCTTTACGGCAGCATAGGCTGGGAGCGCCTCTCAGATGACCTTCCATTTACAGCCCGAGAATAGACAGTATCATCTCTGAGTGATTTGGGTCCAGAGTTTAGGCCAGTATATGTGGAACAGGACCTTGAAGATAGTAATCAGCTATATGAGTGTTTTACTACAATTAGCTAAGCACTATACTAAGCATTTCACATGTGTTATACCCTTTAATCCCATTTTGATCCCCCTTCTTTCTATAAATAAGGATGCTAAGGCTTATTTTATTCCTTTCTATTGAATTTATTGGGGTTACACTAGTTAGCAAAATTATACAGGTTTCAGGTGCACAATTCTACAGCCCATCATCTATACACTATATTTTGTGTTTATCGCCCCAAGTCAAGTCTCCATCCATCACCGTTTATCCCCCCATATACTTCTCCAGCTCCCCTAACCCCACTCCCCTTGGCAGTCACCACACTGATGTCTATGTCCATGAGTTTTTCTCTTTTATTTTTTGCTCTTCCCCCCACACCCTGCAACCCCCACAGCTGTCTGCCTGCTCTCTCTCTCTCTCTCTCTCTGTGAGTCATGACATAAGTCATGACCAAGGCCACACTGCTGGTCAGTGCAGAGCTGGGTTCCCACCCATCTCTGCCCTTACCCTCCATTCTGCATTTTATCCTGGGGTGCTCTTGCATAGCCACAAAGACTTCTATTTGTGCTCTACCATATTCTGGGTATTATGTGTTGTTTTTAGCTATTATCTTAACTGTAGGAGATTTTATTTAACTCCATTTTATTGATGAGGAAACTTCGTCTTTGGGAAATGTTCCTGAAATCAAGTCTAGGTCTGCCTGACTCCCAGACCTGGCAGGAGAGTGTGGCAGATGGTAAGAGCACAGGACCTAGAGGTAAACAGCTCAGATTATATCCTGGCTTCACCTCAGACCAGCACCGGGATTTTAGGCAAATTGCTTAATCCCACTGTGCCTCTGTTTCCTCATTTCCAGATGGGTCCCTATTGTGAGGATTAAGTGAACTAATACATGTAAAGTACTCAGCACAGGGTCCAGCTTGGTAATGGGTGTTTCATAAATGTATGCTATGTTCATTGAACCTCCCTAGGCCACCTTATTTTCAGAGAGTATGAGAAATAGAAGCAGCCAGCCAAGTTCATATGTCAGGCCTTCCTTGACTTTGAAATGATGAGCATCTACTCTATGCAAGAGGCTGTGCTGGACTGAAAGCCAGAAACATCAGTTGCCTCCTTGCATGGAGGACTTCCTAGGTGTCCTGTGTTGGGCCTTGGGCATACATTATCTTACCTAATCTTCACAGCAGCAGAACAGTTCCTCGTGCTACACGTGGAGAAAATGAAGCCCTGTTGAGTGACTGGTTCGAGGCCATACCTCTTGTCTAGTTTAGTGATAGAGCTGGGACTGGATGGAGGGTTTTGTGCTGTTTCTCCAGCATCACACTGACCCTTCTGAATAACAATGGCTGCCATTGAGTAGACTGAAATTCTCTGCAAGAGGTCCACAAGTATAACATAAGGAAAGGACGTGGAGGTAGAGTAACTTTACCCTAACTGCACGATCTCTCGAGACCTTTAATGTGCTAGTGGCCTGTGATGCTGTTGGTGTAATATCTGCCATTTCCAGAACCTTCCTGGAAATATCTCACGTGATCGGGACTCCAGGGAACACACTTGGGAAAGCACTTTCAGTTGAATTTGCTGAGTGCCCTTTTTAAGTGTAAGGATCAGAGGGAGGAAGAGATGTGGAACCAGTCTAGTTAGAGGCTCTCATCTCGTGGCCTGTCGTCTCCAGAGGCCTGGGCCAGGACATCCGCTAAGAGAAGGGCCGAGAATGAGACACACGGTGGTTTACAGGAGAGAGACAAAGGCTCTGAGTGCTTGTGCAGAGTCAGGAGTTCTGGGTACATTTTGTGTTCGTCAGCCACCCTGAGTGCTTTGTTTGATTCTCCCCTTGAATCCCTTCAAAAACTGAGCAAGGCAGGTAGCCTCAACCCTTATTGAAGATTCTTGTTACTACTGTCATTGAAACTAAGGGAGTTTAAGTAACTTGCTCAGTAGCACATAGCTAAGCTGTTGGGTGAGTTCTGGCCCCATCTGCTTGGAAAATCTGAGCTCTAAACACTGCAGCTGACACCATGACTTGTCCATATTGTATGATTAATTCCTGTGGTTCCAGGCACCTAGTTGGCCTTCGGGAAATCTTGCCCCCTTCCTCATAGTTGACACATGAGTGTGAAATACACGATGTGAATGAGGTTGCAGTAGGGAATACAGGCCTGAAAATTCCATTACAGGGAAAGAGTGGACTCATTTCTTACACCTATCCCATCGGCTGTTCCCAGGCTTTGTCATTCCCGCCTCCACTGCAGACTCAGAACTCCTCTCTCCCCATTCTGCCCTCAGCCTCTCTTATTGAGGCTAAAACTTCTGGTCTGTTGCACCATCCAGCTTCGGTCCCCATCTCCCACCCTCAGCTGTCATGGATACTGCTTTCCTCCCTTCTTTAAGCCCTTGTTCAGGTGAGGATACCAAGGAAGAGGTTGAATAATTTGCCCAAGGTCACTAGAAGTGAGGGGGAGCTAGCAGTAACCCAGAGTTTGGGGTGAATTCTGCTGAGCCTGTGAGTTTCATGAGGGCAGGCAGGCATTGTCTTGTCACTCGTTCAGCAACACCAGATCCAGTGCCAGGTGTAGCAAATGCTTAGCAAAATTCTGAGACAGGACCTCCCTCCTGCTAGGGGCTCTGTTTCTCTTCTGGTCCTGACATGATCCTCTCTCCTCAGCACGGCACCCCAGGTGTTACATACCAGCTCTCCAGCCCAACAAGCAGAAAATGAAGCCAAAGCCAGCTCTTCCATCTCCATCGACGAGTCACAGCCTACCACAAACATCCAAATACGGCTTGCTGACGGTGGGAGGCTGGTGCAGAAATTTAATCACAGCCACAGGTACCTTATATTGTCTGGCCCAGCTAATGCTAGGAGGGTCCCAGAGGCTCCCACAAATGAGGGCGGGGAGTGCCGTTCTTCCTTCCAACACCAGCAGGCACTCTGTGTTTTTCACAGAAGAGGCAATGGGCTAGGAATGTATGCAAGTCTGAAGCCTTTGATCCCTACTTCCATTAAATGTTGCTAGTGACTGCTCACTTCCTTCCTGTGGGTCTCATTCCTCATCTGTAAAATTAGAGGATTGGATTCCTTAGGGATTTTTCATCCACCAAACTCTTTCTTCAAAGGAAATCTCATGCTAAAGTCCAAGTGTAGAACAGATAAAATTTGAACAGCTGTGGTTGATAGAGGGAAGAGGAGACATAGCACCAGCATCCCATTCACAGTTTTCTCCACCCCCTTCCTGCAAGGGGCCTCCAAAACTCACCAGGCTATTCAGGTCTTTTCTAGATCTCGTGTTAGAGAATTCTAGAATATCTGCTCTACTAAGTGAAATCAGGTGGCCTGGATCAAAGCAAAGTGTGCCTCCTCCATTTTAAAGATGGAGAAACTGAGTCTCGGAGTGATGAAGTGATTAATTAGCAGGGGAGCGTTGTTACCAGTAAAGAGATTTGGCAGTTCCTTTTTCTAGAACAGCAGTGTCTGGATTTCATCACTTAACGGGCCAGGTAAACCAGAACCCACATGTGGAGCTCGGTGAATGGCTTGACTGACTATCCTTGAGCGCTGGCGAGGTTCACATGTCAGATAAGTTGTGAAACAAGCCCCGGGAACACATGGGGCTTTGTTCAGACATTTCTTGTTTAATAGGAACCATTTACTGCATTTCAGTGCTTGCAGTTAAAGGAATTAATCCATCTCACTGCTCTGAGTTCTTTGGCTCGGTTTCACTTCATTCATTAACTCCAGCCTTTCAGCATAAGTGCTGCTCACTCCCCAGGGTGGACAGCCCATCCCAAATGCTTACCAGCTGGTGGGTGAGAAAACTGCTGACAGTCTCAGACTCTTATCATGGATGTCTGGGCCCTTGAGTGTGGCAATTGTGGATTGCATAAATTTTAAGGGTTGGGGGTAAAAAGAAACGCCCATTTAAGCACTCTAGGGGAAAAGGCTCTGTTTCAGATGACTGCATTCTCATGAGCACCAGGTTCAGGACGCAAGCAGTGTCTAGAGTAGGGATTCCTGGCACCTAGGGGTTGCTGACCTTCAGTAATTCTTCTCACTAATAGTTTTAGTGATTTACAAAAGAGACATATTTGCTACCCTTGTGGAATTCATGGTTTACAGGAAGAGACAGATATTAATCATGTCCCAGAATTGTTTGATTACAGACTTTATCAGTACCATGGAAGAGCAGGGTCAGGGGATGGAGACAGGAGCTTGCAGGGAAGGCTGCCCTGAGGATGCGGCATTGAAGCTGAGGCCTGAGGCTAGATAAGGATGACAGGAAAAGGATCAGACAGAAGCCTCTGGAGAGAGGGACTCAGATGTAGCAGGGAACATGGTGTGATGGAGAACCAGGGGAAGGATAATGGTATAAAATGAGGCCTTAGGACCATGGTGAGGAGATTGGTGTTTACCCTAAAGAAAACAGGAGCAACTCTGGAGGTCAGGATCACGGGAGGGGACACGGGGGTTGGGTTGCAGCCTTCCACAGGGTGGGGTTGGTGGGCTGCAGAGAAGAGCACTGCTCACCCACCTCCCCCCTGCCCCCTGCTCCACCAGGATCAGCGACATCCGACTCTTCATCGTGGATGCCCGGCCAGCCATGGCTGCCACCAGCTTTGTCCTCATGACTACCTTCCCGAACAAAGAGCTGGCTGATGAGAACCAGACCCTTAAGGAAGCCAACCTGCTCAACGCCGTCATCGTGCAGCGGTTAACATAGCCACCCAGCCCTGCCGGGCGGCCTCGCCTTCCTCCCGTGTTTCCCACAGCCAGCTGCCCTGTGGGGACCACCCCTCCAACCCGTTCTTGAACACCCAGCAGTCCAGTGCCACGTCTCCTCCGTAGCTCTGGGTTCTTAGATCTCAGTTGGACATTTGTTTTCTCCTTAGTTGCATTTCCTGGGTTTTTGTGACGATCAATGGACTTTAAAGAAAAAAATAAAAACAACCAAAAAAAATGGAAGGAATATCACCAGCATGTTATACGGAACCTCTCCTCTCCCACTGAAGTAGGCTTTGATTGTTTTAAAATCGTTTACCTCCAGGGTGTGCATAAAAATTGCTGTGGCACACAGTACCTGTCCACTCTGTGTGTGCACCTGCCCCCCCCATGATAACTAGTGGAGGATTTCCCCCTTATAAGGAAGGAAGTGGGGGACCCATGGAAAGAGGCTTTGCAGCCACTTACTCCCATAGGAACAGACTCTACCCAGGTGAGACCAGGCAGCAGTAAGAGTCCCATGAAGTGTGCAGTCAGAGCTAGATGCGCACAACCCCTTCAGACGAAAATAAATACTTCTTGGGGCTCCTGTCACTCAAACCTGGGAAATTCGATTTTCTGAGACTCTTGATACCTGCCAGCCACAGCCCTTTCCTCCCTCATCACCTGGTGATTCCAGCTGCTCACGTGCAGAAATGTGGACCTAGGGAGTAGGTGGGGTACTTTCATTGGTTATTAACAGCTCGTGCCAACCCGAATGAGTTCAGTTATGGTATCTTGGTGAGGAACAATCAAGATACCACTGAGCTATTTGTTATTGTGCAGGACAAATGCTGAGAGGGGCTGGTTCCTTTGCTATCTGCACTTTTTACTGTGTTAGTGTTTGCAGGAGGCCTGGACGGAGTGAATTTTGACAGTAAGAGTAAGGTCTGTGCCTGGCTTTGGTGTGCGGGCTCTGCCTCACAGTTGTTCTCTGCCCTGCGAAGTTCACACTTGCAGCAGTTTGGGCAGTCTTGTATAGACACTCCCCCCCCCCCCCCCCCAATAAATAAGTGTGCTTTTCTTCTGTGCAAGTTTGGGAGAGGAGGATCACGGGGGGCTTGGAAGCCTTTCCACCTCCCTGTTAAGTGAACCACAGACTTAGAATCAACACTGACTCAATCTCCTGGTTTTAAATCATAATGTGCCTCAGTCCTCTTTCCAAGCAGTCCGCCAATCACTCCACATCCTGCAACAAGCCAAGAACCACCACTGCTTATACCCAGAGTTGGGGAACTCCTTGGATTTCAACCGAGACCCATCCTGAGAAAGGGACCCAGCTTGGTGCTTCTGATCCCAAACTGGCAGGGGCCTGCCAGGGCTGCAGCATCTGCCACAAGCGTGTCCTCCAGCAGGTGGCAGCAACTGTGGAAAACAGTGCAGGTCTGGAAAAGCTGTACATTATTGTCACCTTGACCATTAAAAACCAGAATAAGGACAATGGAGTTTGATACTTTCTAATGGATTGGCTTTGAAGAAGTTGTGTAATAGCAGCCATTGTAAGTACTTAAGTGCCTCACAATGGTCATTTCCCAGTGCAAACCCTAAAACCCAGCTCGCACAGTGGTAAGGTGTGCCTGCTTCCAAAGCTCACGCTCTTAACTGCTGTGCCCCGTGTACGTGCGCTTCGGCCCCAGCCCCACCTAGCCCGTATGCACTCAGCCCCTCCACCCCGCTTCAGGGTGGCTCCTGGAGTTATTAGGACACACCAGAAGAGATCACAAAAACACCACTTAAATCTGCAAATGTAGAAAATCACAAAGGCCTGTGGGAATCCCACCACCCACAGTTCAGACCAGCTAGGTGTTGGCCCAAGGTCAGAGGACTTGTCTGCCGTGGCGTCAGGCATCACGCTGGCACTGCGTCCAGTCTGGCTAAGGATGTGTTCAGCCCTGGTTCTCTGGGTAGTCCAGAGAGAGGATTTGTCCACCCAGATAGGCTTTCACAGATTTTTCTTTGTTTTAGAAAGGGTACTCAGCAGCCACTGGTTCTGGGACTTCAGAGCATTCGTTCTCAACTGAGGCATTTTAATTGGTGGAGGCATTTTGGATTATCCCAAAAATTAGCTGGCAAGTAAGGGAACCTCCTGGAGTTAAAAGACCAGGCCAAGAGCACAGTGCAACAACCAGGACATGTCCTAATGGGAAGAGCCAAAGTTTACAATGAAAAAGGTACATTAGTTGTGATGATGCCCTTTTTCTGATAAGTTCTGTCTAAACTAGTTTCCGTTATGGGACGTAGTGTCTGCTTGGTCTTGTAGACCACACCATGCCAAACAACCTGGTAGGTACAGTTGGGGGTACATCTGGTTGCTTCTTCAGAAGATGGCCACCGGAGGAAGCAGATGTGTGCAGCAGAAGCTGAGCATAGTTTTATGGCTTCGGGCGGCACTGCCAAAGCGTCCTCCAAAGCGGCAGTGCCCTTCAGTGTGCCCACCAGCAGAACAAAGCGTACAGGTCCCCACCAGGAAGTCTTGAAAGCTGACCGAGCTAATTCCAGGAAAGCAACTGGTGCAGAAGGGCGGGTCCCCTGCTGCCGTCTGGCCCAACCGCTAGGATTTCAGAGGAACTGCCTGTCAGGACTTCCACCTTCCAGGGCCAAATAAAAGGACTTAAAATAGGTTTGTTCCTGCGTCATGGTCTATAGCTGTGGCCTCCCATTCCCTGCCCACACACACACTTCCTTCCAGGTCCACTGTTTTCTCAGGCCAGGACACAGAAGCAGAGCAGAAAACACATTGTTGACTTCTAGTGTCCAGTCTGGTCCAGGATGAGCTGTGCGACTGCATCTCCACCACACGTCCAGTCCTTCAGCAAGACCTCAAGGTCCTGCAAAAGCATCCCAAATCCAGCCACTCATCATCCCTCCCCTGCAATCTCCCAGGTCCACCTCCATCATGTCTCATACTGACAACTGCAGTGACCTCCTTGTTAGTCCCTGAAAAGCCCTACAGGACCTGGCCCCTGCCCATCACTCACACTATCCATTCGCCCTGCTTTATTTTCCTCTTTACTCCATCTGATGCATTATGTACGCCCTATGTGTTCGTTTCCTTTGTTCCTCCATGAAGGTGGGGGGTCTTGCATTCTTCACTCTGCACTCACTGAACACCTGGCACAGTGTCTTATAATACGTAGTAGATCTTCTTGGATGAACCTGTGAAATGGAGATAAGACCTGACTATCAAAAGAATAAAGGGGATGATGCTTAAAGTGCCCAGTGTAGTAGTGCTTAGGTAATTACACTCACTCCCTTCCTCCCAAAGCAGGTTCTTCTCATCCAGCCCCAGGGATGCATGCTTCTAAAGAGCACTTGGAGCTTCCAGCAAGACTTCCAGGTTTTTAAGAGCAGGTGGAGCCAAGAGCAGATATGTATGTGGGATGGGAGAGCAAGGTGTGCCGGGGATGCTACAGCACTGTCCTCACCCTGCCAGGGCTGGACTCAGGCCAATTACCTGCCATCTTGAGAATCTGAGACCCTCAATGCTAAGACCAGGTCTTTGATTCTATCAGTAACGACAGCAGCAGCCATTATTTGAGCACAACTTGGTGGTAGGCCTTTCCACCTGTAGTTCAGCAACAACCCGAAGGTACCCTGGTTAGCTCATCTAATGGAGGAAGACACTGAGGCTTAGTGTGGTGAAGGGACTTAACTGAAGTTACACACCAAGTAAAAGTCAGAGCCAAGATTTAAATCCCCAACTGCCTGAGCCCTTGGCTGTAGGAGGAGTTAGGCCAAGGGACAAGCTATAGTAGCTTCTGCCTGGTGATTTCAGTAAGGGCCACTGGGGCCTGTCTGTATAAGGGGGTGGACACAAGGAAATGAATGACTCACAAGGAAACTCACTACAAATCCTCAAATGTGCCCCTTTCTCAGAGACGGAGGATCCCATAATAAGGTGTTTATTCCCAAGTGGTCACAAGGTAAAATGCACCTTATTACATGTGTAAGTATCCGCACTCCCTCTTCCACCTTCTCTGCCATCTTCCACCACATCCTCCCCTAGCATCCACTCCACCACCATCGTCTTTACCACCATCCCCACAATGACCAGTACCTCTGTCTCCATGTCCACCACCACCACCACCTCCACAGTCTCCACCATCTTCTCTCAGGACACTCCAGTTCCTCTCACCTGCCCTCTTCCAGCTTCCTTTGCCAGATCTTAGTTTGTTTTTGTTTGTTTGTTTGTTTGTTTGTTTGGGGGTGGGGTTTTTTTTAGCACTTTATTACTTTCTATCACAACAAGATGCTCCAGACTCATTTTGTATGTTTCCTACCCAGTTTAAGAATCAGCCATTTTTCCAAGGAGCCCTGTTTTCTTTCGTTGGAGAATTGTGTGAAAAACCAAGATCTGGCCGCTAGGTAAGCTTGTTGCTCTTTGGATATCTTTCTTTTGGGCCATCTTAGCTAACAGAGCAAAGAAATACTCATATATGCCTGTATGCCAAGCCAAAATATACACACACATCCATTAATATTTCTATATGCAACCATTTGTATCTATGATAAATGAGTTCCTACCAAAGGCTTTTTAAAAAACATCTATTTCATTATTGAGATTTTCTATTTTTTCCTTTGTTTCAAGAGATTTGTGATTGACAGCCGAATACTTCCCACATTTGGTGAGAGATATAAACCTACACATTCAGGGAGCTGAATGAGCCACAGATGGGATAAAACCAAAGAAATCTAAGCTCTGTTTGAGATTTCAGAGCTCCAGGGAAGGAATCATTTCCCCGGTCATCAGGGATTCTTACACCTTAAGACACAAATGAGACTCTGTCTTCTTTAGAGACCATAAAAATAATACACATAGTAAAAATAAGTTAAATCAGTTCAGAATCATATTGATTTGACATAAATAAAAAGTCAAATCTTGTGAACTTCCTTTCAGTCCCACCTCCTAGAGTCATTATTTCCATTTTAAGGTCATTTGGTTGCTAAATGGTAATTGGAAAGGATGTGAACATTGAATATTTTTAGTTAATTAGTATCTAGGCTTAAAATAACTTTCCTGATAAGAAACTAAATCAATTTTTTGAAAAAATAATTAGGCTATACATGAACATAGTCTCCAAACTAACTTGGAAAGGAATGCTCTTCGTTACTTTTAAAAAATCAAACAAATGTTTGATTGGTGACCCCTGTGTGGCACAGCAGACGCCAGTCCTGGGGCCCAGTTCATGCTAGGCCTGGGCCACACGTCACCACTGGCAGCTGGAATGGTAGTCACACGTTTTCTTCTCCCAAAGCAGTGAAGAAGAGGTAGTGTGCCTCTTTAAAGGAAGAAAAGGAGGTTCTTGGTAAACACTCCCATGGGGAAGAATAACCAGTCTTCTATCTGTGGATTGAGATGAACACTGTCTCACAGGCAGGTCTCTGTTTTGAACTGATGCCCAATTCAGAGCCATGAGAAAGCCCCCAGATTCCAGAATGAAAGCAAGGGGAGCCACATCTGCTGGGCTTCAGGGAAGACTGAACCCAGGAACTCTCCACAGTCTGACTTTCCCTAGATGGCATTGGCAGTGGCAGGGGTGTATGTGTGTGTGTGTGGGGGGGGGGGGGGGGGGTGAAAGATAGCGTCCTGTCAATTGCTGGATTCCCACCTTTTGGGGGAGCTATTAATATGTTTTTCCATCCTTCTATAGGCACAGAACTATTTTTCATTGGACACACGGCCACACAGAATGAAGATTATTTTGCCCAGCCTCCCATGCAGCTAAATTTGGCCAAATAGGTGGCAGCCAATGATTCATGAGGAAAAGAGATGTATGCAACTTCTAGGTCATGCTCATATAGGGGATGGGATATGCTTCCACATTCCCTCTTTCCACTGTCAGGAATGCAAGTACATTGGCATCAGCTTGTACCACGTGGAGGAGGGTAGGATCCTAGGGATGGAGAGGCACAAGTAGAAGGAACACGAGTCTCTGGAGAGCCGGTGAAGCCAACCGTCCTGTCTGCCTCTGGACTGGTAAAGAGACAGCAACTTCAGTCGCCAGGTCCCTGATATTCTAGGGAATGAGACAGAGATAATGGGAAGAGTGTCAATAACTCTGCTGTCATGTTTGAAACACCTGAGGAGCACATGCAGAGAGACCCAGGGAAGGATTAGTTCGCATCTGCCTCCTTCAGGTCTAGAATCTCACAATGCTCCCTCCTGCCACAATTCTTCCCCGTGCTCCTTCTGCCCCACCCCCACCCGGCCCAACACATACAGCCGGCCAACTCCTTCAGACCTTGGCTAAACCTGGCTACCTCACGGGAACATTGCCGTACACTCCAGGCTAAATTAGGTACCACTGACATGCCTCTCAGAGCATAACACCATGGATCTCTCTTTCGCAATACTGACAGATTTGAAGCTTTACATTTCTCGTGTGGTTATTGGCTGTCTCTCCCTCACCAGAATGTAAGTTCTGTGAGGTCAGGAACTGTGTCTGTCTC